ATTAGCCACCTCTCGACCTCTAATGGGCCACACACACACACAATGATCATTCTCTTCCGTCACCAACATTGACGACCATTAGCCACCTCTCGACCTCTAATGGGCCACACACACACACACAGTTATCATTCTCTCCCGTCACCAACATCGGCGACCATTAGCCACCTCTCAACCTCTAATGGGCCACACACACACACAATTATCATTCTCTCCCGTCACCAATATCGGCGACTTAGCCCCTTGTCCGTCGGGATCTCCCGACTAACACCACTATTGGTGGTCAACCTACTCTCTTTACTCGTAATCACCAATGTCGGCACTCCCCCTATAGTGTATCCAGTAATATTTAACATGCACACAACCGCAAATTCCCCTTGCCTACCACTAAGGCACGGCAACCTATATGTAATTCCCACCATGCACGCTCCACAGGTCTCCCTTTCCTACTCTCTAATTTCCCAGCATACCTCTACTCCCAACTCCGTTTTCCTTTCTTCTGCTTGCACTAATCCCAACCTCCCACTGCTCCTCGTTCTCCCTCTTCCTACGGCACACTCTAAGTGTTCCCACTCACACCGCGTTCCTCCTTCTCTCTCCTTCCGCGGTCTCCTACAGGCATGCCCACACAAATCTGCTCTCTCTCACCAATCTCAACAACCACACTCCTTCCCCTCACGGACCTCACTCCCACCGCATTCCCTCTCTGTCACAGACTTCACTCACACTGCCCACTCCTCTCTCTCCCCCTTGGTGCTCACCCGGTCCTACTCTCTCAAAAAGCCCCAGCAATCACACTCCTCTCCCTCACGAACCTCACTCACACTGCATGCTCACTCCATTACCGACTTCACTCACTCCACCTACTCCTTCTCTCTCCTCCCTCGGTGCTCCCCGAACCTACTCTCTCTCGCAAGGCCCCTAACAATCCCACTCCTCTCCCTCATAGACCTCACTCACACCGCAAATCCTTCTCTCTCCCGGCCTTCACTCACTCCGCATCCATACCTCTCTCTCGGACCTCACGCGCGTGTGTGTGTGTGGGCATCCATGACTGTGAGAAACCAGAATCCAAAGCTAAAAATTATTTTGATATATGAATAGAATCGATAGAAAATTACTCTGACCTGCATGGAGAAGTTAAATGTCATAAACTCTACTACAGGCTTTAGACCATAATAAGCAGCACCAACTCCAATCCCACCAAAGCCAGCCTACAATATTGGTAAAAAGTTGAAGGTTAAAACAGTCTCCGAAACCAAGGAAGCCTATGGTGACAGATTTATAGGCATATATAGTCAGAATAGAATCAGTAATCACGCATAGCAGGACAACATATCACTGGGGATTTCAAGTAAAAGGGAATAACCTCTGTAATTGGTGTATCAAGAACTCTCTCAGGACCATACTTCTCCAAAAGGCCTTTTGTAATCTAATGCAAAATGAAGGTATATTAAACCTTTGGGATCAACAAATCAAAAGAAAAGACAGCGAAAACTTTGGTAGGTTCTTCCATCACTGAGAGAATTTTTAACCTTGTATGCACCCTGATATTCTCCAACCTGCATTTAAGGCATTATAATGTAAATAAAATCCAAATGATCAAAATGTTTCATGATTGAAATATAGTATTTCAGTGATACCTCTTCACCCATTAGAAAAACTTTCGAATCTGCAGACATTTCTTCATCAAGTGCTGAATTCAAAGCTTCTCGCACTGTCAACTGCAACAATATAAGTTGGTGCACGCATAAAAGTAAAATAAGGGCAAGATCAAAGCAAATGAGATGACAGAAAGATCGTGTCAAAAGGAAATTACAAAAGAGAATGCATGTCATGAATAGGTCGGAACCAAAACTGGGGACATTGTCACTGATAATTGTCCTATCAAATACTTGATGAATGTTAGATCCGTAGATCCCAACGTATCCCCACAAGAACCCAAAGTATCTTGATGGAGCATGACTGGGTCAACAGCACGTGCACACCTACAGAATCGGTCTCACTTATCCACCTCCAACTGAAGAACTGCTCCACTCCACAGCAGCAACTCCCCACAACGAAAGTGACCCACGATCTTTACCCATTATTTCTTATGTCGTAAATGTAGGAATTTATCATTATCTTGTAATCTCTTGTTGATTATTTAATGCCTGAAACTTAGATGGAAAATAGGTAAAAATTTAAATCAAATTCTGGTTTCTTTCTTACCTCAAGTAGAAAGTCTTTTTCTTATTTTCTTCAAGTTTTGATTGGGACCAAACATTGGTATCAGAGCCAGGTTACTATAACGACCAACAAGGAACGGATTGGGAATTTGGAGGCTGGCCTCAGACAAGTGCAAAATAATTTAAGCCGAATGGAAATCGAAATGGTCGACCGATTTCGGGCGCTTGAAGAATCCATCTTACTCACCAACTCCATCGCATCTGGTAGAGAAGGCTCCAAGAGCCACCAAACCCTTCGTCCCAGCCCCCCTCCTGCAAACTGCAACGCAAATCCACAACCCGAAGAGAACAGCCGCAACCCATTATATTCCAAACTCAACAAGCTAGAGTTCTCGGTCTTCGCCGGGGGTGACCCGACTGAATTGTTGTGTCGCGTCAGCCAATTCGACTCCTATCAGGGCACCACTGAGCAACACTAGGTGTCTCTTGCCGCCTACCACCTGGAAGGAGAGGCCAATCAATGGTGGCAGTGGCTAAACCGAAATTACAGAGAAGAGGGAAGAGAAATCACCTAGACCGGGTTTGAAGAGGAGTTGGGAGTGGTTCGGCCCGACTGAGTTTGAAGACTTTGATGAAGCTCTGACCCACATCCGTCAGACGGGCCCACTTCGTGATTATCAGAGAGAGTTCCATAAATTGGGCAACAGAATCCATGGGTGGCCTCAGCAGGCCCTAGTTGGAGCCTTCATTGGTGGGCTCAAGCCCGAGATTGCTGATGGGATTCGAATGTTCAAGCCCAGAACACTCAGAGATGCCATAGGCCTAGCCCAAATGCGGGAAGAACAGGTGGGTCGACAAAATCATCTTACCCGACCCGGGAGAGCCCAACCCGCCCAGCATCTGTCATCCTTACCCGAGCCTCTTCCACGAACCCTACCTGCCACGGCCACAGCGCTGAAGAGGCTCACCTGGGAAGAGATGCAACAACGGAGATCACAAGGGTTGTGCTTCAACCGTTGTCGCAAACCGCAACTCCTGCCACTTGAAGGGGGCAGTGAGGAAGATGAAGAAGCAGAGGGTCCTGAACCCGAAATCTCCTTGCACGCTCTCACGAGCTGGGCACCGGCTCGCACCATGCGAGTCACCGCCACCATCGGACATCAGGAAGTAGTTGCTCTCATCGATAGCGGCTCCACGCACAACTTCATTTGTGAAAATGTGGCAAGCATTATGGCTCCCAATCGTTCCAACTGCCCCGTTTCCAGTAAAAGTGACAAGTGGCAACACTCTGAAATGTCAGGGACG